AACACACACACACACACACACACACACACACACACACACACACACACGCACAAACACACACAAATAAACATAATTTTTTCAGATTTTCCTCTCCCTTCATTCGTTCTTACGATCTATAGTTTGCTTTCGATTTCTTTGTAACTTTGAGAGCCGCTTGCAAGCTGAGCTTTTAAGAACTGTCGCCAATTGTATAACATCAGACAATAATCATCTAAACATCCCTGGTTAGTTCAGTTAAGTACGATGAGTTGGTAAAAAAGCTTAGGAAATGATAGCATGACATCGCAATTTCATGACCTTGGAGAGAACTGTGATAACTGGTAGAAAGACAGTAGTCAGCTTGAATTAGATAAGCTACTCAGTAGCTATACTTTTAAAGTCCATGTAAACTGACCCACCCCCACCCTCTCCTACCCTGCAAAAACAGAAAGAAAGAATTGTATTGATAGCAGATATTACTGTGTCGAACGGGAAACGGGTGTAAAATTAAACTGAAATGTTTGCCTTATCCTAACGAACCACAATGGCTTGTGCTGTGATCCCCTCCTTAGGTGTGCCGACACTGTATCCCAGGCCCAGCATAGCCAGAGGCTTAGGTCTCGGGGAAATCATCTTGGCCCACTCCTTTCCTCGTGTCCAGTGAGGGATCTTGACCGACTCCTTGTGGACGTTTTCAAGGCCGTCTTTCTTGAACTCGTCCACCATGTAATCGATGGCGTCTTCAAGGTTTGAACTCCCACAAAGTCTAGGTAAAACAAAAAATCGGAGTTCATAATCCAGTAGCATTTTTTGCATAAAACATCATTTCTAAACATTGTACCAATACTGCTTTTAACATTCGCAAAAACATACTCAACTATCAAGGTAAAGTCTTAGTGTTCAGTTATTGTGTTTTGTCTTTTATTTTGTTGTTTGGGAGTCTTAAAGTTAAGAAAATTACTTTCACTTTGACGTGATAACAGGTGTCTTAAAATGTCGGCTTATATCGTGTTACACTAATCCATGATTGATAAGAAAAAGCGGAAACTAAATCATGGCTTAACAAAAGTCTGAGTTGTATCAAAATGATAACAGACAAATCTGAATTTGAATGTGGCATCGGTGGCCTAATGTTTTGGCTCTCAGATTCGCAACCGTAAGGGCGTGGGTTCGAATCCCGCCAGGGACCCGACGTTGTGTCCTTGGGAAAGACACTTTACACGAATTTTCCTCACTTCACCCTTGTGAGAGGATGTACCCAGCTATAGACAGTGAAAGATCTTGCCAGTTTGTTAGTGTTTGAGCGCTCAATGCTTCCCGGGAAGCTGAGGGTGTTTCTGAGTGTTCTATCGTCTGCTGGGGTAATAATATAGTGTTAAGCGCAAATAGCTTGCTGAAGTGCGGGGTAATGCGCTATACAAGTGCTATTTATTATTATTATTATTGTTGTTATTATTATTATTATTGTTATTATTATTATTATTGATCCCATTGCACGTTGCGTACGCGCGCGAGCACGCACGCACACCACAAACACACACACACACACACACACACACACACACACACACACATACACACATACACGCACACCCTGCTATTATTGGAAAGAGACAAATGGAGTTATTTAATGAAAAATACTAAGTAGATAAAGAGACCTGTATCCAAACTTGTCCGTCATTGTCGCTAGTCTGTTGTACACCTGACCCTGGCCAGGACCACTCATAACAAAATCGATGATTTTATCAGCCACCTCCTTGTGGCCCCAGATGTCCTCATAGACATCCCACAGATCAGACTCTCTGCCAAACCTTGACCGTGCCGTCGACGGCGCCGAGAAAGACAAAACCGTGAGAAAAAGGAACAGCAATTTCATCTTTTTCATCTGACCTGTGGAACAGAAGCGGGACAAGGTGGCAAAAAGTCATCCAAACCCACAATAACATCGTTAAAGGGTGCAGGTTCCAAATATATATAGGCTGGAAAAATATCGACTATGTAACCCATTTTAAGTCATTGCAATAATTGCTTCACGCTCTTTTCGACACAATTTAGGTAGTTTTGGAAGGGGGCTACTTCGACCCTGTCTGTCAAGGTCAACCCGGGCTTTGTGAGGTTTTGCACCCTGCCTAGGAGAAAGACGGAGACTCTCGACAACATTGTTCACCCCCCCCCCCAAAAAAAAAAAAAAAAAAAAAAAATTCAAGCCAACAGGTTACAGACCTGTTCACGTATCATTGTCTGGACCATGGATGTTACTCTCAGTGACAAATCTCATTTTTCAAGTAAAGTATTGCCGTCATCATAAAGATTTTTAAAAAATTAAAAATTAAAGTGTACAGGCCCCAATACACTGAATATATACCTGTATCTTTGTTACCAGTACCACCTTTATTTTGGTTTCTTATTATGATGTCAAATTGGTACAAAGTAACACTATTAAGAACACGACACTAGGATCTTGTAAACTGATATCTAGGTCGTTTCCACCCCACCCCCACCCGCCCTTCCCGCCTTTTCTGAGCTCTCTGTTTCACCGTATTATTTTATATCATTGATTTGGGTCATTGAGCTGTAGCAAGAAAGCCAAACACTGAATCATGGGTCACGGGAAAAAAAATCTATGCTTTGATTGTCCCATTTTTACGGAGCACGGCTTCAACAGTCTAGTCAAAGCCTTCGATCAAAGCAAGGAGTTTAGACTCCTTGGATCAAAGTCATTTCGGCGACCTACTTACAACTCGTAGTTACGTAGGGGTACGACAAACCATTGTATACATAAAACTATACCACGCATATTGTTATAAATAACTTCTTCCTTCCTTTTAGGGTCAGTCAATCAGCTCACATCTGAAAGACTCGTGTTTTCTTTTATCTTTCGCCTGAAAAGCAAAAACTTTAAAATGAGCATTCGATTGCCAAATGAAATTTACATAATATCCAGGGGTTTCATTTTGTTTTTTGCTTTTTGTTCGG